ATATATAATAAAACGCTAACGACTTCGCTTTCTGTTATGTCATTTTCTTTCTTGAACTTGAAGTTTGCTTTTCTTCTTCACTAATCTATATATGGACCACGACGAATATCTATTCAAGCGCCACGCCACTGCACGCCACAGATCATCGTTTTTATTTTTTTGGTCTTAAATGGGTTTTTGCTTTTCTTTTATATTTTTAAAAATTCAAACTCTACGATTATTCAAGACTTACAGATATATATCATGTACAGTGAATATAAAAATACTTTGTTGACCAAAACAAAACTACCTTATTAGTGGTGATTGAAAAAAATTTGAAAGTATATTTTTTCTTATCTCATAGTTACTTCCTAGAACTTGCCATCCATAAACATAATATTGCCATTTTTTCGTTTTTTCCTATAATGTGTATATTATTCAAAAGAACTGATAAGAGACAATTTACAAAATAATTGTTAATTCACACTGACCAGTGATTTGGTCACTCTCTCTAGCACACGGACACACAAACCAAGAAAGATTTCTTGAAGCTCTTGAAGGGATAAATCTTGTTTTCCCTCTCAACTGGAATAAGAGGGTTTTAGACTTTTACAAGAACACTCGATAACGACGAGGTAGAAGAGCTCAACAACAAACGTAAACCAAAAAATGAAGCGAGTTACTAAAAGCATTGCTTCTCCGGCGATTCCGGTGGTGGCAATTGTGTTTCTCTTCTCCTTGAGATCTATTGCGGCCGCGAATGTAACCTACGACCATCGTTCTCTCTCAATCGGCGGTCGCCGTCAGCTCATTATCTCCGCCGCCATTCATTATCCGAGAAGTGTTCCAGCTGTTAGTAACTTATTCTTCTTACTTTTTCCATTTTTCTATCTTCTAAAGTATTTGATTTTAAGTCTGGTGATGCCAAAGTCCGAAGCTTTTCTCGGATTTGTGCTCTACGCTTTATATATTTTGATTTCTCTTTCTTGGGTTGTACATTTAATCGAATAAAGTTTCGAGCTTGTGAGGGTATACTTAATTCTTTTGCAGAGGACATCCTTGAATCAGTCTCTTAGTAATACATTTTCAGTTTGATGGAAAATTATTTGGGGGTATGTTAATTTTTCCATCTCATTCTCTGTCGAAGTGTATTTTCCAGGAAAATTGGATAAAGGTCTGGTATTCAACTCTTTAGTTTCACTGGTTATGAGTTGGGTTCTTAGCTATGACTGTGGTCGATTTGGAAAATGTCTCGCTTGAGAATTTTCTTGCTGATGAAAATGATTTTCTTGCAGATGTGGCCATCACTTGTTCAAACAGCAAAAGAAGGTGGTTGCAACGCAATCGAGTCTTATGTGTTTTGGAATGGCCACGAGCCATCTCCTGGAAAGGTTAGAAGTTCAATAAATAACTCTCAATGTGTTTGTTGAGCTTTGTCCATCAATCTTTTTGCAGATCAAGATCGTTTTTTTTTTTTTGGTTTGTAGTATTATTTTGGTGGACGGTATGATCTAGTGAAGTTCATCAAAATTGTTCAGCAAGCTGAAATGCATATGATTCTGCGAATTGGCCCTTTTGTTGCGGCCGAGTGGAATTACGGGTAATGCTCTATCTAGAGAAGCTTTCCTTTTTTCACTCCTCTTTAGATATGAAGATAAAGGGTTGTGAGTTTTGGAATTGAAATCTTTTGGTTACAGGGGAGTCCCGGTTTGGCTGCATTATGTTCGTGGTACAGTTTTCAGGGCGGATAACGAGCCATGGAAGGTAGCAAACACTATATGCAAAATTCGGTTTTTCTCTTTTACTAGAAAATTCATTCGCTCTTTGAATTTTGTTCCAGCATTACATGGAGAGTTTCACGACGTATATAGTAAACCTGTTGAAGAAAGAGAAGCTTTTCGCACCACAGGGCGGTCCAATAATCTTGTCTCAGGCAAGACTTATGACAAAAACATATTCATTTTTAGCATCATTCTGTTTCCTTTTGAAATGTTGTTTTGATGTTTGTCTTCAAATTGTGATTTTCATTAGGTGGAGAATGAGTACGGATATTATGAGCGTGATTACGGAGAAGGAGGGAAGAGGTATGCTCAATGGGCAGCTTCTATGGCTGTTTCACAGAACATTGGTGTTCCATGGATGATGTGCCAGCAATGGGACGCTCCTGCGACTGTGGTAAAGTCTATCTCCAAATCCAAAACATAACAATCTCTACACACCTTTATCTGTTTTTGCTCGCTTTTTTGTATCGAAATGTTAGCTGCTTGCGGATGCTGTGTTACGCAAGTGTATATGCACCGGGTTTTGATGATTTCTCTTATTACTTTTTGCAGATTAGTACGTGCAATGGCTTTTACTGTGACCAATTCACACCTAATACCCCGGATAAACCCAAAATCTGGACTGAGAACTGGCCTGGATGGTAACAAGATTGAATTTTTTTCAGTCCCTTTTATCATTTCTATATAAAGTTGGAATCTTTTGGAGTCTGATTATCGCGGTCTCTTAAGAGTTTTACATTTTCTTCAAGGTTTAAAACTTTTGGAGGCAGAGACCCACACAGACCAGCGGAGGACGTAGCTTACTCTGTTGCTCGTTTTTTCCAGAAAGGCGGAAGTGTTCACAACTACTACATGGTAAATAGTATTTAAGGTGCAAATTAGTTAGCTCCATACCAGTTTGTAAACTAAAGGTAGCTTTTTGTTTTATGATTTTGTTTTGTTTTTCCATGACTGTGTAGTATCACGGAGGAACAAACTTTGGACGTACTTCAGGAGGACCATTCATCACAACAAGCTATGACTATGAAGCTCCAATCGATGAGTATGGTGAGTTTTGTAACAAAGATATCACTGTGGAGTGAGGTAATTCTTCAACAGTTATAACTTATGTTTGTTTCTGTCCCTTTGTCAGGATTGCCAAGATTACCAAAATGGGGACACCTTAAGAATCTTCATAAAGCTATTATGACCTCTGAAAACATGCTGATCAGTGGCGAGCATCGAAATTTTTCATTAGGCCCTTCACTCGAGGTAGCTTTTCTGTTTCTCAACCGTCCGTGAAAAAAACCTCTCTGTTTCTGTCTGGATGTTCCTTGTGATGGTTTTGTTTTTTCGATTTTCAGGCTGATGTGTACACAGACTCTTCCGGAAACTGTGCTGCGTTTCTGTCAAACTCGGATGATAAAAATGACAAGACTATTGTCTTTCAAAACACGTCATACCACTTACCTGCTTGGTCAGTTAGCATTCTACCTGACTGCAAGAACGCGGTTTTCAACACTGCAAAGGTAAAAAAAAAAAAAAAGAAAAGCTGATTCAGAGAATGACACCCGAACGAACAACGCTTATTAACTCATTGTTTACATTTGCAACAGGTCACTATGAAGTCCTCCAAGGTAGAAATGTTACCTGAAGATTTGAAATCTGCGTCAGGTCTTAAATGGCAAGTGTTCTCGGAGAAACCGGGTATTTGGGGAGAAGCAGACTTTGTGAAAAACGAACTTGTTGATCATATCAACACCACAAAGGACACAACTGACTATCTTTGGTACACAACAAGGTCAGTATTACTGTTCATACCGTGGAAAAGTTTGTTAAAAAGGAATCTGAGGCAATGTATTCATTCTGTTGCAGTATAACAGTCAGTGATAATGAAGGGTTCCTAAAGAATGGAAGCCGCCCTGTTCTGTTTATTGAATCAAAGGGGCATACTCTTCATGTTTTCATCAACAAGGAGTACTTAGGTATTTTGAATACTCTCTGTGATTCTTTTGGTGAGTTCTCACACTCGAGTTTCTAATTGGTTGTGTGTAAATGTGACTACTGGTTTCTAGGAACTGCGACAGGGAATGGGACTCATGTGCCTTTCAAACTCAAGAAATCAGTTTCTCTCAAAGCGGGAGAAAACAATATTGATCTGCTTAGCATGACTGTTGGTCTTTCGGTAATTCTATAAACAGAAAGTTTCGAAGTATTGTGTTCCAAATATCATTTTGGTTTTGCGTCATCATCGGCACTCATACATTTGTTTAATTTCTGCTACAGAATGCAGGATCTTTTTACGAATGGGTTGGAGCCGGTCTTACAAGCGTCTCAATCAAAGGTCTCAACAATGGCTCATTGAATTTGACAAATAGTAAATGGTCCTACAAGGTTATATAACTCTACCTAGAAACCTCTCACGTGCTCTGACTGATTCTCTCTTTAACGAGTTTCTCAAGTCAAATCCCATGAAAATCTTGCAGCTCGGCGTGCAAGGAGAGCATATAGGTCTGTTCAAGCCAGGTAACTCCGGGGCTGTCAAATGGACCGTGACTGCAAAACCTCCCAAGAAACAAACTTTGACTTGGTATAAGGTAATGCAACTCTTGGGAAAGATCCAAGATTGTAGAAGATAAGTTTTGTTTCCTCTCTCTCTCTCTCTCTCTAAAAATATGATCTTTTGGTAGGTTATCATAGACTCACCTTCGGGGAGTGAACCAGTCGGGCTTGATATGATCGGTATGGGGAAAGGCATGGCTTGGCTAAACGGTGAAGAGATTGGAAGATACTGGCCCAGGATTGCTAGAAAGAACTCTCCGAATGACGAATGCGTTAAAGAATGTGATTACAGAGGCAAATTCATGCCGGATAAGTGCAACACTGGTTGTGGAGAGCCATCTCAAAGATGGTGAACCTAAAAAGCCATAAAAGTTCTCATCTTTCGTTTTTTTCACATCTCTCTTTGTTCAAATCTCATTCTTAGTCTTTGGCTTAGGTATCATGTTCCACGATCATGGTTTAAGCCTTCCGGGAATGAGCTGGTGATCTTCGAGGAGAAAGGCGGCAATCCCTTGAAGATAAAGCTTTCAAGAAGGAAAGTCTCGGTGGTGTGACCAAGAGATTAAAGATTGAATCCAAAACCGTAGCTATAAAGAAAGATTGGGGATTCAGATGGTACCAATGGAAGCCAAAGAAGAGATTGAATTTCTTTATTGTGTAACTTTAAAAAAATGATAAACAAGATCTCCATTTGTTAACACACTTTTCATTATCAAGCTATAATTACAGCATTATAACTCATTCTATCTCTTCAATCACCACGCAACCACCTTTTCGAATAGGTCCTTTCTCCTTCACGTCTGGACGCCCTCTGTAATCGTTGAGCTCAACAATCGAGTTCTTCTCTGCCCTTACCGATGATTCCAGAGCTTGCCACACTTCCGGAGTCTGCTCATTGACCCAACACATCATGAAAAACACTTTTTTATCTGCAAGCTTCAGTTTCTTCTTCAGATCACGCCCTGATGATTTCACTTCCTGAATTGCACCATGTATCAGCCTTTGGAGATCACAGAGCAAGCACACCAGAGCTGCAGTGCCAAGAGATAGCAAATGAATCACATCATCCACCAGATTCAATCCGAATTTCAGACCGCCGCAGAGGTTTTTGTAAGCTGAAGAGCACGTCTGTTCCAAGCAAAAGGAAAACACTTCCTTTATGGTCTCGGGTTGTGCACTCTGACCCAAAACTGATGAAACAGTCAGTACCATGGTTGCTGAGCCTAACGTATCGGATTCCCAATCTCCATTATAGATACGGAGAGTAAAACAATAACTGTATACAATGTCAACCAAATGGAGTGGTAAGAGAGGAGATGGATTCGTTGAGCTGAGCTTGCTTAGTGAGGTCAGAGGTGTATCGGGCCCTCGAGGAATTTCGCTGGCTTCTTGATCATCTTCTTCAACACATTGTACCAGTTGTGTACCTTTTGTTCCAAGTGAGATCGTTCGAGCTGAAGGGAGTAACCACCAAGGATCCCATGGTTCTATCATTTTGCTAAGTTCTCCAGACGCTAAGGCTCTTTGGAACCCTTTTCTCTCTTCTAAGCTCAGATCATCAAGATTGACTTCATCTCCGGCAAGAATCTTTTGACAAATTTCCTCCGGTAGAGTCAAACTCGACCCTTCATCATCCGTGATGCTATCAATTCCACCATCATCTTCTTCTTCTTCGGAGTGAAACCGTTTCAAAATTTCGAGCATCTTCGTTTTGGTTTGATCATCAGATCGAACTTGCCGCAGCTCATCCACCACATTCTCTCTCATAAAAGATTCAGTGCATTGGACACTGTGAGATTTGTAACAAGGAAGAGAGCAGTAGCGGAAGTTGCAGCGAGGACAAGTGTACTGCGAGAACTGTTTATTACACACATGGCAGATAATCCGCAAAGAAGGAGGGTTTAAAGGAGACGAATTTGAAGTCTCCGATGTAATAATCGTCTTCTCCGGCAACATTTTTCAGAAACCTTGAAGAAACTATCACGATTCCAGATTAGGGTTTCGTTTGAAGTAGACAGATCCGGATACTCAAAAACCGAAATTTGTAAATCAGATTTGGGCCGAGTTATGGGAATATGGGCCTTAGTTGAGCCTTTAATCAAAAGTAGGGTTTCATTTGAAGAAGACAGATCCGAAAACTTCAAATACCCAAATTTGTAAATCCATTTTGGGCCGGATTATTGGATTATGGGCCTTAGTTTAGCCTTCAATCTAAATTAGGGTTTCGTTTGAAGAAGGCAGATCCGAAAACTCAAATACCCAAATTTGTAATTCAGGTTTGGGCCGGATTATGAGAATATGGGCCTTAGTTAAGCCTGTAATCTAAATTAGGGTTTCATTTGAAGAAGACGAATCCGAAAACTTCAAATACCCAAATTTGTAAATCCGTTTTGGGCCGGATTCTAGGAATATGGGCCTTTATTGAGCCTTTAATTTAAATTAGGGTTTCGAAAGACAGATCCCAAAACTCAAATATCCAAATAGAAATTCAGGTTTGGGCCATATTATGGGAATATGGCCCTTAGTTGAGCCTTTAATCTAAATTAGGGTTTCATTTGAAGAAGACAGATCCGAAAAATTCAAATACCCAAATTTGTAAATCCATTTTGGGCCGGATTTTGGAAATATGGGCCTTCGTTGAGCCTTTAATTTAAATTAGGGTTTCGTTTGCAGAAGACAGATCCAAAAACTCGAATATCGAAATTGACATTCAGGTTTTGGCCAGGTTATCGGAATATGGGCCTTAGTTGAGCCTTTAATCTAATTTAGGGTTTCATTTGAAGAACACAGATCCGAAAACTTCAAATACCCAAATTTGTAAATCCATTTTGGGCTGGATTTTGGAAATATGGGCCTTCGTTGAGCCTTTAATAAGACATTTCCCGAAACTCAAATATCCAAATTATAATTCAGGTTTGGGACAGGTTATAGAAATATGGGCCTTAGTTGAGCCTTTAATCTTGGGCTATAATTCTGATAAGCGGGTCAAATATTCAGGCGAATATATCCAACTCGGAAAGTTCGTCTTCTTGAGTGTTATATTTTCGCTGTCCTTTTTTCTTCCTCAATCTAAGGATTCCATGAACGAGGAACAAAAATGAAATATCTTCTCTTTCTACTATCACTTCTTTGCTTCGGATCCCAAACAGCGATTTCATGGAAGAAGGAGGAGTTTCGAAGCTGCGATCAAACTCCATTCTGTAAACGCGCTCGATCTCGTACTCCTGGTGCCTGTTCTCTGATTGTAGGCGATGTTTCCATCTCCGATGGAGATCTTGTAGCCAAGCTCCTACCAAAAGCCCCTAATCAAGGCGATGGTGATCAGATCAAGCCGTTGGTACTCTCTCTCTCGGTTTATACGGATGGGATCGTGCGGCTTAGGATTGATGAGGACCATTCACTGGAACCACCGAAGAAGAGATTCAGAGTGCCTGATGTGGTAGTGTCCGAATTCGAGGATAAGAAGATCTGGCTGCATAAAGTAGCGACGGAGACGATCTCTGGAGACACTAGTCCGTCTTCAGTAGTCTACCTATCCGATGGCTACGAGGCGGTGGTGCGGCACGAACCATTTGAGGTGTTTGTGCGCGAGAAATCAGGTGATCGCCGTCGCGTCGTGTCTTTGAATTCTCATGGGTTATTTGATTTTGAGCAGCTTGGGAAGAAAAGTGACGGAGATAACTGGGAAGAGAAATTTAGGACGCATACAGATTCGAGACCATCTGGTCCTCAATCCATTAGCTTCGATGTTTCGTTTTATGATTCCAGTTTCGTATACGGAATTCCTGAACACGCCACTAGTTTCGCCTTAAAGCCTACCAAGGGTCCTGGAGTTGAGGAATCTGAACCCTACCGGCTATTTAATCTAGATGTTTTTGAATACGAGCATGAATCACCATTTGGGCTTTACGGGTCGATCCCATTCATGGTTTCACATGGGAAATCTGGTAAAACTTCGGGATTTTTCTGGTTGAATGCTGCGGAAATGCAGATCGATGTGTTGGCTAATGGATGGGATGCAGAGAGTGGCATTTCATTGCCTTCCAGTCAGAGTAGGATTGACACACTCTGGATGAGTGAGGCAGGAATTGTAGACACATTCTTCTTCGTCGGGCCTGAGCCAAAGGATGTCGTCAAGCAGTATGCAAGTGTGACAGGTACTTCAGCCATGCCTCAGTTGTTTGCTACTGGTTATCACCAATGTAGGTGGAACTATAAAGATGAGGAGGATGTGGCACAGGTGGACTCGAAATTCGATGAGCATGATATTCCCTATGATGTTCTCTGGCTTGACATCGAGCATACAGATGGGAAGAGATACTTCACATGGGATAGTGTGTTGTTTCCTCATCCAGAGGAGATGCAAAAGAAATTGGCTGCAAAGGGTAGACGGATGGTGACCATTGTGGATCCTCATATCAAGAGGGATGACTCGTACTTCTTACATAAGGAGGCTACTCAGATGGGATACTATGTTAAGGATTCATCTGGAAAAGACTTTGATGGTTGGTGCTGGCCTGGTTCATCATCTTACATTGATATGTTGAGTCCAGAGATTAGAGAATGGTGGGGTGGAAGGTTCTCTTATAAGAACTATGTTGGTTCAACTCCGTCGTTATACATCTGGAATGACATGAATGAGCCTTCCGTATTCAATGGTCCAGAGGTAAAGCTTTCTGTATGATTGGTCTTGCTAATTCTGTTATTGTTTTTCTGTAAGTCTGTATAACTTTTTTTTTTTTAATAGGTTACTATGCCAAGGGATGCATTACATGTTGGCGGTGTTGAACACAGGGAAGTTCATAACGCTTATGGATATTACTTTCACATGGCGACTTCCGATGGTCTAGTCATGCGTGGAGAAGGAAAGGATAGGCCTTTTGTATTGTCAAGAGCAATCTTTCCTGGTACTCAAAGATACGGAGCAATTTGGACTGGAGATAACACAGCTGAATGGGAACACCTTAGAGTCTCCATTCCAATGTTATTGACACTTGGTCTTACTGGAATAACATTCTCAGGTGCAAGGAAATTTTCTGCTCAATTTCTGCTGACGGATTATTTTTTCTCTCGCGAATCTTATGGAAGCTTTCTTTTCTTTTTCAGGAGCTGATATTGGTGGGTTTTTTGGAAATCCTGAACCAGAACTACTTGTTAGGTGGTACCAAGTCGGCGCTTACTATCCATTTTTCAGGGGTCATGCTCATCATGACACCAAAAGACGAGAACCGTGGTTGTTTGGGTAAGATGTGTTATATTACTAATATTTTTCTTCGAGTATAAGCGCTTTAGGTATTGATCATGCAGTTGAGAAGTGAATAAGATCGTGGCAATAGCACTTGGTGTTGCAGTCTACTCAGTTAATTTTATAAATCGTTAACACATTAGTTTCATCAAGTAGGCATTGCAATGATTGTCCTGTGGTCCATTGCCTTTGTTTTGCTGGCTCGTAAATTCCGCATTTTCTCATTCAAATCAAATCAATTTTATTTTGTTTCAGTGAACGGAATACAGAACTCATGAGAGATGCCATACACACTCGTTACACGCTGCTCCCATACTTTTACACGTTATTTAGAGAAGCAAATGTTACGGGTGTTCCTGTTGTACGTCCGTTATGGATGGAATTCCCAGCAGATGAAGCTACTTTTAGCAACGATGAAGCCTTCATGGTCGGTGATGGTCTATTGGTGCAAGGAGTTTACACTAAGGTATTTCGAGCGCTTAAGTACAAGTTCCGCTACTGGTTTCTACATTTGTCTTCTTTTCTCTCGACTTAATGAATCTTCTCCGAAGAAATGATCAAATCAGTCACTTACTTTCTTCTCGGCTATATGAAAAATTAGGGAACAACGCATGTATCTGTGTATTTGCCTGGTAAAGATTCATGGTATGACCTGAGAAACGGCAAGACATACGTTGGAGGCAAGACTCACAAGGTAGACGCTCCGGAGGAAAGCATTCCCGTGTTTCAAAGGGCGGGAACTATTATCCCTAGGAAAGACCGGTTCCGGCGAAGCTCTACTCAAATGGACAATGATCCTTATACTTTGGTAAGTACAACTCTTCCATTATCAAACTGTTTTGTCATCTGCAACCAGTTCAATGAACAAAGTAACTCTGTCGTAGAAAAATAGAGAAGACATTTCAGAAAATGAACTCTGATCTAAATTTCGATACCCCAACAAAGGTAGTATCACTGGAGATATTGTGGTGGCCCAAAACCCCGCGAGCCAGGTATGGACGGTTTGACAGTAGGATGTTTAAACCAAAAAAATAGAGGACTAGACCGGTTAAGCATGTAGAGAGCTTTGCATTTTACTATTTTAGAGGTTAGCCGCGAACCAGAAGACGAATTAGAGCTGGGCCTCATCACTAAGACCATGGTTGGGTGACCCCGTCCAGCATATAGATCCGTAGACATTTAAGACGTGTTTGGTTGGTAAGGTCTGTAATCTTTGTGTATTTGATCATTTTTTTTTCTTTTTTGATTCAGGTGGTAGCTTTGAACAGTTCTCAAGAAGCAGAAGGTGAACTGTACATCGACGATGGCAAAAGCTTTGAATTCAAGCGAGGCTCCTACATCCACCGTCGCTTCGTCTTCTCAAATGGTATTCTTACATCAACGAACTTAGCTCCTCCACAAGCTAGTCTCTCTTCCCAGTGCTTGATCGACAGAATTATCCTCTTGGGGCATGCCTCGGGTCCGAAATCTGCACTGGTCGAACCGTTGAATCAAAAGGCAGAGATTGAGATGGGACCACTGAGAATGGGTGGCCTTGTAGCCTCCTCTGGTACAAAGGTCTTGACTATTCGCAAACCAGGTGTTCGAGTGGACCAGGACTGGACCGTAAAGATTCTGTGATTGAACCGAACCATTCTCGCTTGTGACCGATTTCCGGCGACGGAATTGCACTCCCTTTTTAAAAAAAGAACATATTTTTGGAGTTTTAGACTTAAATAGTTGTAAGAGCTAACTGTTTGGAAGTCACTTGCATTGTTATCTTCATAATATAAAAAGTTTTAGATTTTTGATAATCTCGTAATGCATACTTTAATTTAATAAAATTTCAAAATGTCAAATTTTATACATTTTTGCATAACCGTCAAGACTAAACAGGTCGGACGTCGACAAAAAAATAAAAATAAAATAAAAATAAAATTGGGTCGGACAGCCGACAAGAAAAATAAAACAAAACGGGTCGGACAAGCGGGTTTATTGAGTGTAATGGGCTTTAGTTGAACCCATCTTTTCGTGGGCCAAGATTAAACAGACCGGGAAAAGCCTGTATTACCTATCCTAAATAGTCAGATCGGTCTATCCATAAGACCATAACCAATTCCATTTTGCTCAAAATATCTACCTGTAAATAATCTTATCATTCATTGCTGCTAAATTATTTTTAAATCCCTTGCTTTTCACCTAATTAACCCATGAAAATTATGGCAATACGTATCAGACTTTCAGTAGTGAGAAAAATAAAAAAATAAGGATGTGATAAGGACGCCTTCACGAGCTTTTAGTCATGAATATTAAATTGTCCAAGATCAACCAAATAAAGATTCTGTGGGCTAGATTTGATTTGATTTTTTTTTTTCAGACAACTTTAGCATAACTGTTTACAGTTTTGGATTTTTGCGTATGTAAAGTTTGCGGTTACTAATGTTAGATTTGTGTAGGTGAAAAAAGATGCCAAAATTTCGTGTAATAAGTAGGAGTCACGTAACTACCTAATTTTTGTAGGTATAATAAAGACAATCATCCTTTAAACTAAAACCTCATAGTTCCAGACAATATTCCGTTCATGAATCTCGAAACAAAAATAAAATAATACATTTTAGAATGTAGTGTATATAAAAAATGAACAGACTAAAGAATCTTGGACTTCAAAAGGAGATTTTGAAAGAGTAAAGATACTCTTTAAAAATAATAATGGTACATAATAGCACTTGCATGACATATTCGATTCTATTTTGATCGTGCATTTTGGCTTTATTTTTGTTCGTTTTAAACTTTAAACCTATAATACTTTTGGCCTGAAGTCTAAAATCGACAATTAACATTTTTCTGTTATTGTCGTAAACTGAACTCGTAGAACTACGTACGTAGAACAACCTAGTGCCGCCTCCATACCACATATACGATTACCTATAAAGAAAATAATTCTTACTGAAATTAAGACAGTATCAAGCGGATCTTTATATAGATATAAGTTTTATATTACCAATTTAAAATTCATTATACCAAAATCCAAATATAACTTTGACCTATGATTGTTAAATAATCATTATTTATTATTATTATTATCTATTTTTTTGAAGAGGACGTATCTACATCCTTGTATGAACCTTAGGAATACATGGTAAGCATTTTCGAAGAAATTTCAGACCCTATTAATTTGAAATCGATTAAAGTTTGTAATGTAACAAAATTATAATGCCCTAATGTAGCATAAATTCCTCATAAATAATAAAGAAACAAAAACCTAGATTTGGCATATGCTCAGTTCTAGTATAGAAATATTCAATTATTCTTAAAATAGCCTAGGACTCGGAAGCATTTGAAGTAAGAATAAGTGTTGTTAATTATTAATTAATATGAGTGATTAGATCGAACCCAAACGTATGGAGGCGTAAAGTAAGCATTTGATTCTCTTTCTTTTTCCGTATCCTTCAATAAAGAATGGAGAGAACAATAGTTCTTAGAAAACTTCTCAAATTTTGATATTCATATTGTACGTCTTGACGAAAGAGTAAATATTAGTCGTTTGTTTGTGATCTCCGAAGTCGGATAATAAAATTACATACACTTTTAATTATTAAAAACGCGATCTACTAATTTAGTGGAACTTAGTATTGAGATTGCGATCAAGTTTGCGAATCATGAATCCTTATTGAGCTGTATGAAAAAATAATGGAACACTTTCACACACAAAAAATGAGAGAAAGGAGAGAAAATAATACATATTTTTTAGTGTTTTTCTATATACATATTCATGGTCCGACACATGCAATGTTTTTGCAATATGTATGTTGGAAATGTTGGGTAGTTTCTGTCAGTTTTCTTAACCCATCTCTATTTGCAAATTCCCTTAAAAATAATTTTAAATTTCGGATGAGATATAAGTATGGCGGATACCCTAATAGTAATACGCATATCGTATGAACAAATATACAAATGGTAAAGGCTTATTTGACCGAATTTCAAATATCTTACCTGTAAATATTAATTTGATTTTTCCTAAGAAATTAGGAAAGATTCCCCACTTTTGATGGCTTATATAAGTTGATGAGCCAGAACAATCAAAATGCAGCAGCAACTGCTCTCACCACTCTTTTCCTTTGCATTTCTTCTTTTTGTTTTTGTTTTCCATACTTTTTTGTTTTTGTTTTTTTTTCGTTTTCTTCGAGTTTAGTTTTCTGCATAGCTTTGTCTAAAGCTTATCATCGCAAGGCTTAATAAGAAGAGGTACCTACTATAACTACTCTCTCTGTTGGAAACTATTTACCGCCAAATTTGGTTAGATATAACAGTATTTCGAACTAGTGAGTCCTCATAAGTTTGATAGTTTACTAGAACCAGATGGATGTTCCTCGGCCAGCTTTCAAATGTTTCGATGACGATGGCCGGCTTAAAAGATCAGGTAAACCCTATGAAACTGAATGATTCATGTTTAGAAAGTTTTAAGAGTGTCAGTCAAGACAATAAGCGATTTTTTGTTCTTTTCTACTCAGGTACGGTCTGGACCGCAAGTGCGCATATTATAACGGCAGTGATTGGATCTGGTGTTCTATCGCTGGCATGGGCCATAGGTCAACTCGGTTGGATCGCGGGTCCTGCAGTGATGTTCTTGTTCTCTTTTGTCACTTACTACTCTTCCACTCTTCTCAGTGACTGCTACAGAACCGGAGATCATGTTTCCGGAAAGAGAAACTATACTTACATGGATGCTGTCCGATCAATTCTCGGTATCAATTATCGATTCTCCCTGTTTTTCTCTTTATAATATATGTTTTGGTTTTCTCTGTTTTTGCTTTGTTTCACTCTGTTTCACTCTGTTCGCTCTGTTTTTTGCTCTGTTTTTTTGCTCTGTTTTTTTGCTCTGTTTTTGGCTCTGTTTCGCTCTGTGTTTTGCTCTGTTCGGTTCTGTGTTCTGAGATTCTCTGTTTCTGATAGGTGGGTTTCGGTTCAAGATCTGTGGTCTGATCCAGTACTTGAATCTATTTGGTATCACGGTCGGGTACACAATCGCGGCAGCCATAAGCATGATGTGAGTCTTTCTTTCTCACGAAGTAGAGTAGTTTCTTTTGGAGCTAAACAATGAGACAAAGCCCTGTTAAACCTGTTTGTATCCGGATCGAGCTTTCAGGGCGATCAAGAGATCGAACTGTTTCCATGAGAGCGGAGGGAAAAACCCGTGTCACATGTCGAGCAATCCATACATGATCATGTTTGGTGTGACCGAGATCTTGCTCTCGCAGATCAAAGATTTTGACCAGATTTGGTGGCTCTCCATTGTCGCGGCCATCATGTCCTTCACATACTCTGCGATCGGTTTAGCCCTCGGAATCATTCAGGTCGCAGGTAAACAAAGTTATAACTATCAAAAGATTCTTGGCAATAATCGGCAAACAAACCAGAGGGTTTATAACTAACTCTTATGTTATGGGTTTCAGCAAATGGAGTTTTCAAAGGAAGTCTCACTGGAATTAGCATCGGAACTGTGACTCAGACACAGAAGATATGGAGAACCTTCCAAGCTCTTGGAGACATTGCCTTTGCTTATTCATATTCTGTCGTCTTAATCGAGATTCAGGTAAAATAAATAAACAGCTTAACCCTTATGCCATATGAATAGTCGATTCTATCATCTGTTTCGTTCAACACTTTCCTAATCTTATTTTTTCAATTCCCTTTTTTGGGGTGGGGTTTTGATTAGGACACTGTAAGATCTCCACCAGCAGAATCAAAAACGATGAAGAAGGCTACAAGAATAAGCATCGCCGTTACGACAACGTTTTACATGCTGTGTGGTTGTATGGGCTACGCAGCTTTCGGAGACGCAGCACCAGGAAACCTCTTAACCGGTTTCGGTTTCTACAATCCGTTTTGGCTCCTCGACGTGGCTAACGCCGCCATTGTTGTCCACCTTGTAGGAGCTTACCAGGTCTTTGCTCAGCCCATCTTCGCCTTTGTCGAAAAACAAGCCGCGGCTAGGTTTCCCGATAATGACTTGGTCACCAAGGAATTCGAAATCCGAATCCCTGGAATCAGGTCACCCTACAAAGTCAACGTCTTCAGAGCAGTTTTCCGGTCCTGTTTTGTGGTTTTGACCACTGTCATATCGATGCTTATGCCGTTCTTCAACGACGTCGTGGGGATTTTGGGAGCGTTAGGGTTTTGGCCTTTGACGGTTTATTTTCCGGTGGAGATGTATATAAAACAGAGGAAGGTTGAGAGATGGAGTCTGAAGTGGGTTTGTTTGCAAATGTTGAGCTGTGGTTGTTTAGTGATCACGGTGGTCGCCGGAGTTGGCTCCCTTGCCGGAGTAATGCTTGACCTTAAGGTTTACAAGCCGTTCAAGACTACTTATTAAACAAAACTATGATGATGATGATGATGGGGGTGATGATGATGATGATGATCAGGCCTGATGATGATGATGATAATGATGATGATGAAGGTGTTGGAGGAAAGAAAGATATAAATTTCTCAACAAATAAAAAAACTAAGGATATACAAATTTAGTGGCTAAAATTGATATATTTCATTTGGGGAAATGTGAATAATAAAAGCTTCTTCGTTTCGTATAATTTATATATATCATGTGGTGTTAGTTTTTGTTTTTTTTTTTTCTGTTAAAGTGTATAATTAGTGTGGATTTAAGAAAATAAACAATTGATACTTTATCGATAAGCAAAATTCAAACTTAAACAGATAAGTAGAGATTAATATGTATCACAATTATTTTTAATTTGTATGTCGGTTTTAATTTTAAAAGTTGAAAAATCATGTTGTTTTTCAAAATTCCTAGATTATTTTCTTTCAAATTTTAATCAAAAATTAAGTTTAAAACTGATAAAATGATGTCGGCGAGAAAAACAGAGTACTACAGCATTTTTCTTGGCTTCTCCTTATACTAGATTATATATAAAGAATTTATGGCCATGATTGTTGCCAAAAAAAGAACAGAAAAAGAATTATGGCCATGAGATAATCGCATAAGTATGTAAATAAAAGAAGAGTGCGATAGAGATTAAGGAAAAGAAAATAAAGCAACAAAATGTGGGAATGGAAACTCGTGGAGGAGACATGAAGAATCTTCAGAAAGTTTAAAAGATGTGACATGGAACTAAAAAAGGTAATAACATGGAAGCGAATCAAAGTGACATCGCTTTCGAATAACTGAGAAAGTAACCCGACACATAAAGAGAAACACTAAAAGAGCAATTTGGATGGTTTTGCGTTAAAGAGCATCACCCAAATAGAAAATTTTCAATGATACAATCGAATATTAGTTAAGAAGTTCTAACAAATAATGACACATAAAATTTCTACTCCAAAAATTTCTTGATATTTTAATTTTCGGGCTGCTTAAAGAATTGGAACATGGTACATGCATGTGTGCGGTGTGCCTAAAAGGCTAAAAACCTACCCGAAAATTGTAAACTAGAACGCAAAGATATGTATATAATTTCTCCTTATTTGCTTGTCACAACATTTTGATGTAAATCCTAATGTATTTTATGGTAAGAGTTAGTCTGTACGTAAGATTCCTTATGGATAAAAATATATTAGTTTCGATATTCAATTTTTTTTTTAAAGTTTATAGATGGTATAAAAATCAGCGGATCGCTGCCATCTCATCCGGTACATATCACTTTCTAATTGAATGAAACATACGAAAAAGAAAACAATATATCTTGAACATAAGCTGTCTTGCTGAGAAATATAAACAAAAATGCTTGAGCAGGAATACTACAGTCAGTATTTTCTCTTACGTTAGCATTTATATGTAGGACACATTTTTTGATTAATAAAATTTGGAAATGCATTTGTTATATGAAATTTAAACACATAATCATAAGACCTTATTATCGTTAAGAAAAAAACAGACACTAGAGTGGAAGTAAGAAAAAAGTTAAATCCCAAGGGGAGGAATTAAGCATTGCAAGTTACAAAATACAAACTAACAGCAACAAGCAAGCAAGCAAATCCCAAACTAGACAGACGTACGTAGTACAAACAAACCTTAACCCAAAAGACATCATTGAAAAACATTCGAAACCAACAACACACGGAAAAAAAAAAGGAATTGTCTCAACTCAAAATCGTACACGCTTGACATCAGTTTGTGGGACACTGATATCACCTCCATTGCCTTTGTTTGAACCATCCGTTTGGCCCTGACAAACAAAACGAATATCAAAATCACACTTATATGTTTCATCATTGATCTTGAAAGCATATATCTCAGGTTTTCTATTCTCAACAAAAAAAGTAAGAGAAAAAAAACATATGAAGTTAAAGTATTAAGTAGAGAGTTTTTTAGGAAGACAAAAAAAAAGCTTACGGTTTCATCAGGAACAACCGCATATCTCTCTGAGGGTGACACCCAACTTTTTCCTGCAATAAGGCAAAGGAGAATTTGAAATATTAGCTCACTTGTGCCATTTATAGAATACTTAATGTTACAATTTTATTTTTACCTGAAGATGGATCAAAATTAGAAGATTCTATATGTTGTCCACTGGCTCCATCGACGCTCAGTGCCTCTATAATCTTGGGAAAATTCCTATTACACCAGAAAACCAAATATCAATATTCACATTATCAATGATGGGTACTGAATGGAACTGTCAAGCAACGGCGTATGTTGGATGCAACGATTTTAATGGCCAATCTTCATATTTCTATTCATAAAACCAAAATATATGCAATTGATAGATCTACGAGCGTCTAGATGATCACACTCTTACCTATCAAGCGATTCTCCAATGCCGAGCTGTCCATTTGTGCCTCTGCCCCAAGCAAATACATTATTTCTTTCAGTCACAGCCAATGTATGTCTCCATCCACATGACACTTGAACTACTTTCTGTGAATCCGCAAAAGACTTGTGTGTATTAGAAAAGAAAAGCAACACATTGAGAGATGAGCTGATTATTATGATAATATAGCTGGCGACCAGTGTAACGTTTTGTCAGATAAGTAACATGCCTGATCGTCGGGAATTCGCACTTGCACAGGAGAACACTGATCTAAATTGTTGCCCACTCCTACTTGCCCAAACTGCATGCTAAAAAGACAGAAAAATTAGAAGCTTGTCTTATTCAAGGTGAGTTACTAAAATAACCCAATATATGTGGATTGCTGAGAAGTCTTTTAATATAAAGCAACCGAATGCAGATCTCAGATGAATGTGTAGATGATAGTTTGTGTTCTATATATTCCTACAAAGTACTGTCCAGTTTAAAACAAAAGGTAAGACATTCTTGACCTTATTCCAACCCCATCCATATAGTTTTCCATCAGAGGTCAATGCCATTGTGTGTCTCCAACCTCCCGAAATCTGGAAAAATAACCAAAGGCCCAGAAGATGTTGAACAAGAAGAACACAACCAGCAGAAATGTATACAATGAGACCAGCTTTCTTCAGCCGGCAGTAATTGTAAGAAACTTTTACTACTTTATTCATGCGGCTGCAATATAAACAATTAATTTCCAAATATTGTTGCTATCTCATCTGTTGGATATTTCAGATGTACAGATACGTATTTCAGGACAGATTTATAAGGCCAAAGTGCAACCTGGGAGATAACACTGTTGCCCAACGCTTCCAGTTTGTGAGGGACAAGGTGATCCTCCAAGTCTCCATGTCCTAGCTGTCCATATTTGCTCCATCCATAAGTATATAATGCTCCAGAGTATGAAACTGATATTGTGTGCCGCCATCCACAAGCAACCATCGACATCTTCTCACCCTTAAATTGTAGTTTCCACAATCAGGAAAACGAGCATCAAGAGAGCCGAAAAAAAAAAAAGTGGCAAGAAAAAAGCGAGGATGCATGATATCAACGATCCATGAACTAAACCTATTTCACCCACTGTTCAGAGGTAGAATACCGAATGCCTGATAGTACACAAACTAAGCTGTGCTTTGATCATGGGATCCAAAAAGTTTTATGGTCCCTTCCTAAGGCTCGTTGAACTATCTTCGATTTATTTAATGTATACAGAATTTCGAAAGCCAGTTTAATGTAGCAGGTGTTTTTAATAAATATAGAACAAGTGTCTGATAGCTTACACCAGCAGAGGTAACTCTTTCAGGAACCAAGCGGTCATTCCGGTCACCTAATCCCAAATTTCCATATCTTCCCCATCCCCATCCATAAAGATCACCATCTTCTGTAACCGCAGCAGTGTGTTCCGCACCAGCAGCAACCATTTTGATTCGTATTCCCTGTATCCAATACAATTTGAGGTATTGATGTAACACTGGGGATTAACCAATAGTAATTACATAAACTTACAGTCTCCGATCACTAAATATTCTAATTTACCCGGTCAGAGCAAATATCAATAATAGATCCTACGACCTTCTGTCTGTGTTTGCAGAGAGTTAACACACAATTATAGCTATTTTTAGACCGCCAAAATTATTTAGTTACCACTCCTACATTCAGTGACTTAAAATTATATGTTGAAGATATCTCCACCAGAAGTGGACCCTTAATTAGTAACACTCGTATCTTTAAGAAGAGCAAGTTGCAGAGATGGACCCAACATTGACCCAGTTATGAAGCATATTCTTTGGTAAGTTCAGGAAACTAAATTGACAAAAGGATGTTAACATTATGCCGAACACAAACCTCAAAGGCTTGAATCTTCTGAGGCACTAGAGAATCTTCTGTGTCCCCAAGACCAAGTTGACCATTCTGGTTGCGCCCCCAACTTAATATAGAAAAGTCAAAGAGATATGTTGGAAAACAAGACAGGACGGCAAAATTGTTTAAAAAGGCAATGCACACAATAACCTAAATATACAAAAAATTACATTTGAAGCAATTTGAAGTCTGATGAATAGTCAAAGTCTGATGAAAATCATCAACAAGTGACATTGCTGAGCTGCGATGTAAAGGAGAAGAACATTAAGTAAGAGTAAATACCTCTGAACCTCGCCTTCCATTGTCACAGCCAAACAATGACTATCTCCACACGCAATCTGCTTAATCCGAATACCGTGCAAAGCTTTGATTGGCAGCGGAGTAAACAAGTCGCTTGAGTTCCCATGGCCTAATCTCCCAAAATCACCCCTGCAAAAACCACATGGGAGGAGAGAACAAGAGGCTTAAGAGTCTGTTGCAAATGAGTGTAGTTTACTACACAAAATCTAGGCAGAAACTTTCAAAACTAGGAATAGCATTCTCTCTACAGTGAAAAGCACTTAAAAAAATGACATGAAGGAAGATTATGATGAGAAACAAACCATCCCCAACTGTAGACCTCCATGCGAGATTCTGAATAAGCAACCGTGTGGTCAGCACCACAGGTGACGGATACAATCTGGTGGTCATCTAAGGCACTTAGTTGCGTCGGAGAAGGTCGATCCTCTGCATCTCCATGACCTAATTGGCCATCCTCTCCTCGACCCCATGAGCAAACAATGTCCCCAGCTACAAAAACAGAAATCAAACATCGGAATATTTAGCATATATGCACATATCCTAGCTTCCTCGTTGCAATTAAACGAAGACAGTATAAGCTACAGGGAGGAAAACTCATTTCTCAAGTTAGGAAAGATTAGATCAACAGAATCCGTGAAGAACACAGCCTTCAAACGCCGCCGATTGCAAAATTCCGGGTATCATCTATCTCCGTAACCGACAAAAAGCAGTAAAAAAGAAGAAGAAGAGGTAGTTGGACGTACAGAGCAGAGCGACGGAATGGCTAGCACCGGCGGAGATGATAAGGACCCTACGTGGCGGAGGCGTAACTTCATCGGCCACCATCTCCTCCGTCATCGATCACAGTTGCGGAGAACTCTCTCTTTCTCTCTCTTCTTTCTCCTGCGCAGAAGATTTTTTGTTCGGAGTATTTTTATTTTATAATTTCTAATTATTTGAAATATGAAATTTCTATTTTGTGATAAATTGGGAAATTTGCAGCTTCTCTTTCACTATCCGTATAAGAGAGAGGGTGAAGGAGAGAAATGGGTTGGGGAGAGTGAGAGAGAGCAGTAGATGGTAATAAAGGCGCGATGGAGATTGCACATGTCAAAATTGCTTTCTTTTCTTTTTTTTTCTTTTTTTTTTCTAAAAAACAAAATACTCAATTGCTTTCTTTTTCTTAATATGAAAAAGAGTATTTGGACCAAAAAAAGGAGAGAATCGAAAGAGGAAATGGAGAGGATTTTTTTTTTTTTGTTAAAGGGAAATGGAGAGGATGGAGAGAATAAAAAGGAAGGACCATCATGGGAGTATACAAAAAAAAAGAGTAAATCCATTCTGATTAATTTTCGGATGTATATAAGTATCGAGCAGTCCGTTTATGGGAATTTTTAATTAATCGACAACAGGACATTCTGATCTTAATTGGTTTAATAAGGTGAAAGATTTTCAAGACAAAAATTGAACGAAAACTAAGATTTTTAAGACTGTATATATGTTGACTGCCCAGCTGATGTCATGCTTCTGAATTATTTATATAGATAATGGATTTTTTAGTTGATAAATAAATGACCGAAAATTAAACTTTTGTCTAAAGAGGTGAAGTTGAATTTTCGTGTTCAAAAATATTTTAGAAATAGTAATGTTATTTGTGCTAACGGATCTGAAGCAAAATAATTTTGTAATTTAGTTAGAAAAATGATTTTTATTTAAATTATTTCATTTAAGTATGTAAATGGCTGATGGTTTTTTTTTGGGTCAAACTATGGCTAATAGTTTTTTTCTGTTTTCCTTATAAAAACGTAATTTTTATTGATATTGTTTGGTTATAAGGAAGCTTATGTTTTGTTTTTTGTTTTTAACCGCACAGATACATGTGGTTTCTTCCCTCGTGTCGTGGTGGTGAGAATGGAAGAAAGTACAGACTTTAATTGCAGAGGGGTCCCTCCTCACATAAATAATACGAATACGGACCTCACCGAGTCACCGGTAAGTTTATAACTTTAATTGACCGTTTCATTTACCTCTTCGCATTAACTATCTTTCTTCTCAATTCATTTACTGTGTTTTTTTTTTGGATTAAATTCATTTACTGTTATTTTGATGAGAAGAAAAACAATTCTATGCCATAAACCCAATCAAATGTAGGACAGTTCTTACAAATGTTCCAAAAATAACAACCATTTTAAAATGATTCACTACTAGTACAATTTAATATTAAAATAATTAAAAACTCCTCCTTCAATGGGAAATCTGTATATCTTAAATTGGAATGAAGAAACCCAAATAAACTATTCTAGCTTTCTTTGTAATTAATTTTGAGTAAACAGTTTTTTTATCACAAGTAATTTGTACTATCTTATAATTTTAAACTTGTAGTGCTAGGTTTGAAGATATTTTCTTTAAGGTATTCAGCTCATATATATTAAAATTGGTCCACCTTACTAGGTCGCTTATGTTTTTGTTGTTTCAACTTTTGCTTATGTTAAATGTACTAGGACAGCAAATATTTAATGTATTCCCAGATCACAACTTTTGAAGTTTTGATCAAAGAGTAATTAGAGTTTTGGTTTTGGTAACAGGTTAAGACTTTTAACCCTTTCTCAAAAAAAAAAAAAAAAAAAAAAAAAAAACAGGTTAAGACTTTTGGTTTTGGTAATAGGTTAAGAGTTTCGATTTTGGTAATAGGTTAAGAATTTCAATCGTTATTTGTTTTGCCTAATGATTTCAGTGAATTGTATGCATTTCAAATACTCCTTTTGCATTTTACATTAGGGGTATACACCATTAAACGCTATTCCTATTGCAGTACATGCAATCGACACCTCATACGTACTTACCAGTGTGATATCACATAGATCGTAAATTGTGTTAATGTGTTGACTCATTCACTCGTGTAAGGCACATAGATCGTAACTTCGTAAGACTACTCATATAATCGAGTCATGCACACGTGTGAAAGAATAGAAACTAGTCAACATTTTCATGACGTACGGTCAAAGAGAACCTGATAACAGCTAATCACGTTTTTACTTAAAATAATTAAGACCAGACGGTCCAAACTATCCATATATAGAAAGCACACATTTTTTTGGATCAAAAGATCACAGTCACACACTTTTTTTTTTCTTGATCAAATGATCACACACATATAAGTTATTATATAGTTAAGAATTGAGACGTTTCGGTTCAAAAATATTCAAATATAGATCCAAATTACTATCGACGATATATTGAATTCAAATACTCAAATATATACATTCATTTATTTTGAAAAAAAAAAACTAAAACATCCATATACCATTCCAAAATTATCATATCAAACGGTCAAAAGAATTTTTTTTTTTTTCGGTCAAAAGAAATTACATGAAGATACTATTTTTTTTTTCAATTGAATACGTGAAATTCAAGATACATATGATGATCTTACACCATGAATAAAATCGACGAAAGTCTTGTTTATCCGAACTAGACCGATACTATCACCTCGACTCAAAACATTTATGCGAAACTAAAGGTTTAAATCGAAATTAAAACCCAACATTATATGCTTGTCAGTGACAACTGAAAAGTTGTGACATCTCAACTTAGAAAATTAAATGAATAAAGACATTATTGCATTGCATAATACATCATGATTCATGGGTATTGTCCAATTTTGGCATTAAAGTCAACGAGACAAAACTCTAGATCAAGATAGTCTCTAATTGTGACGTTTGTTGTGACCTCTTCGAAAATGGGTTCGTGTCACCACACAAACATTTGTTGCGTTGTCTTTTTTTTGTTTGGATCTAATGGAATTAAGGATCACTACTAGCGATTCACGGAAAAATGAAAATTATGTGAAAATCATTGCAAAATATCTACTACAGTTCAAGGCACGTGACTGTAAAAGTGTTTCAAAGGTTTTACTAGAGAGACAAGATAAGACCTATAATACTTTAGGCTTGACATGATGTTTTAACTATTATTGTTAGGACACTAACTTTATGCACATGAAAGTATAAGAACATTGAGGTGAGTACATGTCGAAGTTTGTCGATGAACAAAGTACACAGTAAAAACCAACACCCACATGGGATGTGCGAGTCTTTGTAGGTTTATGTCTCAATTTTTTTAATCACATTAGACTTTCACTTGTGAAAATAGTATATATGACCGGTATGGTCTGGCTAGGGCCGGTCCTATACGGACTGACCGATTCTGGATCCCCTTAACATCCTTATTGAAAGATAAAAGGGTCGAGTTGAGATAACCATATCAGTGTTGAGAGTGATGAAATGGGGAAGATCATGGGAATATTTGGATGAGTGATGAAACTATTTGTTTACAGGAGAGTTATCTTCAATCCTTATCACTTGAAATGCCTCGTGGTTCTGATGAAAAACAGACAACGAATGACCTGGAGAGAATCATCCAGCAGATGATTGAGCAGCTTTCTGTGTTGAGTTTGTGCCGTTTGAGAATGAAGCTGCTTGACGCTCCTGCCGGATTTCTTCTCTCTTTAGAGAAAGAAAAGACCATTATAAGTTTAACAGCCTTGAGCAAATCGCAAAAAGGTTAAATAGACATTGCAATAAATGCTTCAAAAGTGCAGTACGCAAATCTAAGCAACAACCCAGATACATCATGTACCATAAGACAGACAATTTACCACCTCTTGTTACTTAGAAGATATACTTTCATCTGAACTATATGCTACCTAGTTCGACGACACTGAGTAAGCTGATTTGTTACTTAGAAATTCCATACAAGAATTTAGCTATTTGACTAACCACAGAACTTTGTCCTGGACAAGATTCTAGGATCCCAAATTAAAACGATCAGTTAAAGCATTTCTATACAGAGAGTCAGAAATTATCTACGACGTTAATGCTAGTGAACTCCATAGACCCCAAGATTTAGGCTAAACCTGACTAACCACAAAAGATTTTCTCAGAGCGAATTATTACCGCAAGATCTGAAGTGAAAAGAAAGCTACCCAAATTAGATGCGGCTTGGTTGATGTACAATTATACCAGTAAAAGATTCAGCTTTTGTCGAAATAGCGACATGTTTGCTCTCAACATAGCACAGTCATTACTAAGAACATATGAAGAAGAAAGAGAAGACAATCAGACATATAATGTCTCCAAGTTAATCTACAACAAACATACCCGTCTCTCCCAGAAAGGCAAGAAGCAGACAAAGTCATAAACTGGAGTAATAGTTTGCACCAAAATCGCGTTTACTCCTGTGAAAAGCAACAGTCCCATCAATGGCCGTGTTCTGTGAGGCATCCCTCTGCAATCATTAGTTGAAATCTCAAATCAATCAACACTATTCATGTATATACTGATTCCATGGATTCTCCAACTTATCTTATCAAAACCTAAACAAAACTTCCATGTTCAAAGGCAAAAGCTTTTCCTAGTAAGTGGGAAATGAGAAAATTTACCGAAACAGAGGGAGACTCACCACTGGTTCATGTACGAAGAAATCCCCGGCCAGGTATTGTCACCGGCGTATCGTCGCCGCGATTAGACGAGATTACGTTTTCTATTTTTTGTTTTTTTTTTTCTTTCTTCAAACCAGCTTAAACGGTTTAAACGAGTACATGGAATAGATTCGGTTTCCGGTTTAGTTCGGTTCAATTAAAAATTGTTAATTTGAGACTCAAGGTGGTTGAGCTTTACATCCAGCGTTTGCATTTCTTCTCTCTTTCCCTGAAGTATTCAATCTTAATAAAATGATAATTCTACAAATGGTCTCAACAAAAATCTGAACAAATGATTTACATTTGGTTCCATTTGTTTTTTTATAAATTTATGATCAATCATAAAATATGTAAAAATCTTCATTTCAACATTCTCCATTTCTCCTTTTCAGCTATTTTCACGATCCGTCAGTGAGTTGGTTGGTGTTCGTCAGTGGCGTCCAATGCCGACTTATCCATCTCATCATCAGAATCAATCACATTTTCAAAGTCATAAAACGGATTTGCCTGCACGTTTAAAACCAAATCTATCGCTACTGTATCCAGAAAAAAACAAAAATCATTGTTCATTACAAGAACTGGTGAATTAGTAATACCTTTGGTCGCGGAGTAACTGCGTCAAAACTTCTAAACTGGGGATCACAGAAATCAGGAGCCTGCAATATAATATATGCTCCTTTGTTCTTGTACCTCTCTTCCGTTGCCTAAACCACAAACAACAACAACAACAACAAATCAAAGATTTTGATCCGTGATCAATCTTCGTGTGTCGATTATTAGAAAATACCTGGAATTGCGGATAGTCTGGGGCACTGAAAATAGTGATAAGCTTTCCGGATTCGACCTCATGGTCTATTGTATATCCTTTGTCCATTCCAGCTAGACCAGCTCTCTTCTCTCTAGCATCTGGACCTTCATGTGATCTGATGATTAACTGCATCAATAAGAGTAGAATAGTTTATCCAAATCAGTATCTGGAAGCAAAGCAAACAAGCATCGATATTAAGTATCTGGTGGTCACCTTTAGTTCGAATTTCTTCAAGAAATCCTCTGTACAATCTGGACCCCAAAGAAGACCAATACCTCTCTGTTCATTTGGCGAAAGGCCTGGAGTCATTGAAGGATCAGACCATAAAACATCTCCAGGAATCAAATTCGAACCTTCCCAAGGAGGATCAAGGACTGATCTTCGAGCTTGCATCAACTCTTTTAAAGTTCCGAGTTTCAATGAACTCGGTTCAGGTTCTAGAAGAACCACCCGACGGTTTTTCTTTCCTCTTGTTCTCTTAGGCAATACTGGGCTGCGGAAAAGCCCTCCGTGTGCTGTATAAACACGTCCGGAAATTATGGAAGCCAAAGGTAGACCTTCAAAGCAACCCAAACATTTGCGGTACACATGTTTTCCCTTGTCACCGTATTTTGTAAGCACTTCCTTTTCGAAACCGTACATAGACGTACAGTATTTCGATTCATGATTACCACGGAGAAGGTAGACTCTGTCAGGCATCAGAACCTAAGAACATTCAAAAGAAACGAGCTTTAGAAGAGAAACTAAGACTGGAGCGGATACAACAACAAGCATATCAAAATAGTTCTATTCAAAAGAGTTACCTTCCAGGACAAGAGAACAAGGAAGGTCTCAAGTCCCCAAGCACCACGATCCACATAGTCTCCGTTGAATACATAAAACCGGTTTTTACAAGGAAAGCCAGCATCTTTCATGAGGAAGAGAAGGTCATGGAGCTGACCATGAATGTCGCCTACCACAACAACGTTGGATTCAGGGTCAAGATCATCGATATGAACGCAATTACGCTCTTTGTGGAGGATTTTGGAAGCGGTGAGAATAAGGGAATCAAAGACGTTAACTGGCATTAGAGAAGGTAACTGGGAAGGAGGGAGATTCCATGAAGACCATTCGAAAGACGACATTAACCCGTGTACCCATTCGTTCGTTAGGCCACCACCATTTGGCCATATAATTGGAGATGGTGGAACGGGTTCCATTGGAACTAACTGAACCTGAAACTGTAAACACAAGGATTCTTAAAGAAAGTCTTAATATTAACCAAACAGATACCCAAAAAAAGCAAACCATAGAATCAACAAAACCAGAAAAATCAAAAGGAAAGTGATCACACACATAACAAAAGTCTTCAGTGATCAAAAGCCAAAGCATTTACGACGAAGTTACAGCTCAATGATTCGGGAAAAAAGAAGAGGAACAACATAAAATCTGAATCAAACCCATATCCTTACATCTTCCAATCCATAAGAACATAAAATCGAATCTAGATATATCCGTACATCTATAACTCATAAGAACAGCAAAAGCTCAAAACCGAATCATGTTTAGTAGTTGATATATCTAAATCGAAATCCCAAACACAAAGAAGAATTCGGAATAATATTCACCGGCTAAGATGTGGAGACAATTTACAATTTGCAAGCTTCAATCTTGAACCTAGCTACTTCGCTTTCTCTCTCTCTCTCTTCATATACAATTCCGTCGTCGAGATCTGTCTGTCTGACTTATGTCCCTTTAAAATACTTCTAACGACGTCGTTTTTTTACGAATTCAAATCCAGACCCATCCTTCTAAACCGTCCGGTTTCTTTAGAATCAAACCGGCCGATTTATAAAACGAATTAACGTAGCACGTTCCAATCGAATCGATCTCGATTAGAAATTTCTGAGTCCGGTTCGTGCTTCTCTCTAACATTTGCTTTGGGGATTGTTTCTGTAACTCTGTTGTTGATCCAACAGAAAAAGCGTACAGAGAAAGAAAGAGAAACAGAAATTGGACTTAGTTTGAAATTGGCGTCATCTTAGAGACTAATCGATTTCGTCTATACTTTCTCATCGAAATCTTTTGATTTGCTTTATTGTTGGATTCGATAAGTGGTAATAGATGGGGAATTTGTTCGTGAAGAAACCACAGATCACGGAGGTTGATCGAGCGATTCTCTCTCTTAAAACCCAGAGGCGCAAGCTCGGTCAATATCAACAGCAGGTTTTTGATTCTCACTTGTTTATCTGAATTTAGGGGATTGATTTTGATCGAATTTTAGGTCCTTTTATATTTTTTTGAATTGAAATGCTTAATCGTATAGTTTTGATTCATTCGAAATCCTAATTAGTTAAAATCTCCCAAAGTCTAAGGAACAGTGAATTGATTGTTAGTACTGATGAAAAAACCTCCAGCTTTGAAGTTCTTTAGCTTATTTCTTATTTTAACTCATCTTCCTGATTTTTCCTATATTAGCTTGATAAAGTTATCGAAGCTGAAAAGCAAGCTGCAAGAAACTTAATCCGAGAAAATCGAAAGGACAGGGCTTTGTTAGCATTGAGGAAGAAACGGACGCAGGAAGAGCTGTTGAAGCAAGTAGATCAATGGGTCATCAATGTTGAACAACAAGTAAGTCTATCTCCTACTGCTTTAATTTTGTGTTTATTTTACGTCTAGTATCATCTCTGTTGATGCACAATTGTGACTTTTGAAGAAACCTAATGAAAGAGACGTATATTCAAACTTTCATTGTGACTCAGTTGGCAGATATTGAACTTACGAGCAAACAAAAAGCAGTTTTTGAGAGCTTAAAGCAGGGTAGCAGTGCTATTAAAGCGATTCAAAGTGAGGTGGATCTTGATGATGTTCAAAAACTTATGGATGATACCGCTGATGCTAAAGCGTATCAAGATGTGAGTCAATTTTTTTTTTTTTTTTCTGTATCGTGTATGTGCTGCGTTTGTATTCACTGTTGTTTTTCTGTTACAACTTTTGCCGGCATTTATATTGTCTCGATCTCGTCTAGCTTTGAAATCCTCTATAAGTAGTCAAGCTTCTGTGTTTGAGTCTATAACATCTTTGGATGTCAGGAGCTGAATGCTATATTGGGAGAGAAACTATCAGCAGAGGATGAAGAAGAGATATTAGCAGAATTTGACAACCTAGAAAGCCAGGTATGTTTCATGTGTCAAAGGGAAACAATCGTGCTTATTATCATCTTTAATATAGGGAGAAAGACTCATGATGATGTATGTTTTGTTTATAGCTTATTGTTGATGAGATGCCTGAAGTGCGGACAACGGAGTCTCAAAAATCTGAGAAGCTGGATCTTCCGGATGTGCCAACACATACACCCGTCGCTTCCAATGCGGAAATCACACCAGCTGAATCCGCCGACAAGAGAAAAGGTTTTTTTTTTTTTCCTTTCTTCTTCTTCCCCTTGTGATGGTATTTTAGAATTGCAAGAACTAAACTTTGGACATGTTTTGTTTGGTCTGTTCCTTTCCCGATGCAATTCTCGAAGAACCTTTGCCAGCTTGAGGTAGAAGAAACTGATCAACACAGCGACTTTTATCATTCTTTTAGCACCTTTTTCTTTGATGCTCTTGATGTTTTCTGTATAATCTTGAAGTCTCTGTCATTTGTAAAGAACAAAATATTTCTGGAATCCAATTGTATGTTCGTCGAAAATCCACACCACTAACTACTTTTTGGTATAATGGTCGTAAGTTAAATGTGAAAGGTTTCGGATTTCAATGATGAAAATGACAATGAGTGTAACAACATCTATTATATTATTGTTATTATCTAATCAAACAATCAAAAGAAACCAAATTTGTTTTTCCCATGTCAAAAACTCATAACAATCTTTGCCTCCATTGAATCTGAAACTGCTCTTAAATTAATTTGTTTGGGAAAGCTGTTTGGCTTCGATGTCCTTGAGCCTGAGAGTGACGGCTCTCTTGTGTGCATCTAGACCTTCGATTTCAGCCATAGTCGCCACATATGGACCGAGGTTTCGCAGACCTTCCTCTGTCAAGGATTGTACAGTCATGAATTTCAAGAAAGAGTCGAGAGAAACACCACTGTACATTCTCGCATATCCGTATGTTGGAAGAACGTGGTTAGTCCCGCTTGCGTAATCTCCAACACTCTCTGGAGTCCACGGCCCCATGAAAACCGAACCTGCGTTCTCGATCAGTCCCTCCCATTTCTCAGCGTCTTTGACATTGATGATCAAATGTTCGGGTGCATACAGATTTGAGAAATTTATTGCCTGGAGGTATTAAAAAAGCAAATGGTGATCTTTACGCATGCTGTTTTGAGATAGTAACAGTAAGTGTGAGTGTGACCGTAAAGAGAGCGTACCTCAATCATATCTCGAGCAAAAACTGTGAAACTGTGACTTAGAGCTTTTGAAGCAAACTCTCCTCTAGGTAGGCTTTTGCACTGCTTGGCAATTTCTTCTTCGATGGCTTTGAGATTTACACCATCGCCTACAACAACAAGAACAACTTGACTATCTGGACCATGCTCAGCCTGCAGAGAAACCAACAAAAGAAAAAAAAATGTACAAGTTAGCAGGTTCGATAATAAGAAAAGAAATAAGGCAGACACAAACTCATCCTGATGTGTTAAACTGAAAATGTTCTGTAGATTGAAAGAGAAATTTAGCTTTCTTTTTATGCCCAGTGAGAGAGGAATATACCTGAGAAAGCAAGTCTGCTGCAATGTAAACTGGACTAGCATGTTCATCAGCGATTACTAGAACTTCTGAAGGGCCAGCAGGCATATCAATCGAAACCATTGCCTCGCTGTTCTGAAGTAAAGAAAAAAAAAAAATGAGAGTAAATCTCCGATAAATCATAAACTCCTTTTCGTTTCAGTTTTCTTGAATGATAAAGAGTAGTCTAGACAAGTTAGGACCACAAGTAATAGAGGAAAGATATCGGTACTTGAAGAATCATCTTAGCAGCTGTAACATACTGATTCCCAGGACCAAAAATCTTCTCAACCTGCCATAATAACCAAACGAAATTCATGTGCGATTGGCAAAATGTCTGATATAAGGTACTGAAGTATATTATACCCTGTTTATACCTTAGGACAAGAATCTGTCCCCCAGGCCATGGCAGCTATAGCCTGCAATGTCAAATGGAAAGTTTTAAGAACCTTACAAATAAAAAAAAAAGATGGCCATCATGAAAATATATGTGAAAAGGCAAACACAGACACACCTGCGCTCCACCAGCTTTAAGTATGTGAGTTACACCAGCCCTCTTAGCACAATATAGCACCTCCTGCATCAACAACATAACAAACCATCTTTCAACAAAATTAAAAAAAAAAGCATAACGAACCCATCAGCTCAGCAGCAAGATAGATAAAAATGTGAATAATAATACTCCCAGAAAAACGAAAAAAATAGCTGGAATGCTACCTTACATATGCTTCCTTCTTTATCTGGTGGAGTTGCGAGGACAACTGTTTTACATCCAGCAATTTGAGCAGGCTGAGAGAGGAAATAAGGAAAAAGAAGACCAGATTATGTCAGAATTACAAGAAGAATGAAAAGATAAAAAATAATATTAAACAGGAGAGAGCTTACAATTGCAAGCATCAAAGCGGTGGATGGCAAAACAGCTGTTCCACCAGGAACATAAAGACCTACAGACCCAATAGATCTTGACACTCTTTTACATCTGACACCCTAACATACAAAAAAAAGTTGAAGATTATTGTGAAGACTTAAGTAGCTGATAGAGGGTAATTGAATCGACTTACTTTCATGTTCTCAACGGTTTTCTCAGTTGACTTTTGGGCCAGGTGAAATGCATATATGTTGTCATATGCAACATCAAACGCTTCTTTTACCGCGGGGTCAAGCTTCATACAAAAAAAAGCATTCATACAGAGAAAGGAAATTCATTTACTACACATGAAAGAGCATTGAATCAAAATTCTTAAATATACGGTGTTAATAATCAACTACCTCAGGAATAGAAAGCTCGGACACATGTTCCACCACTTTATTCAGTTGAACTTTGTCAAATTTTTCAGTGTATCTGGAATAGAAGCAGTTAAAATGTAATGAAGAGCGCTCATGGGAAGAATGAAACTAAAGACAATAAAGAGTCCATTGAAATAGTAAAGAACCAGTCACTTACTCTTTGACAGCAACATCTCCTTTGCTACGAACCGCGTCAATGATTGGGTTAACCTGATATAGTATAATGTGAGCGAGATTGAAAATTGCAAACCAAGAAGAAGAATTTAAAGGGTAGGGGAAAACTTACAGTGGTGAAGATAGATGAGAAGTCAATGCGAGGGCGTGCCTTTAAGTTTTCAACTTGGGAAAAACTAAGTTGAGATAATCTGTAGGACTTCATCGAGCAATTAACGTATCCTGTAAAAAAGCAATTGAGCGACAACACTTGGTTGAGCAAAAACGGAACTTGAATCTCATAAACCCGAAAATTCAAGCCTAGAATTTGGGGAATAAAAAAAAATCCAAATCGACGAATCATGAAATTCGCACCTTTCCTCGAAGCAGCGTGAGTGGAAAAAGAGAGACGAGGCGAACATGGAAGGGAAAGACGAGACAGATCCAATGACATTTCACCGGTGTGTGTCGCCGGCGAAAATGAAAGGAATTGATGAATTTTGTCTGACCTTATAATTACACGTGTCAGTGATGTTTTTTTAAGTGGAGTATATAACATTTCCGAATGCTATGCTAATATGCATTGTCGAGGGCCCATTTCAAATTAAAGTGATCCGGCCCTTCAAAGACCCATACTTTCTTGGCGATCAAGGTACACACCTAAAGTAGACAAGGACGACTCGAGAGAGGAATCAGAAGAGAGCTTCGTCTCGTTGTGATCCAGCTGTTTAAGCGAGAGAAAACAGATTCGTTCGCTTGTCCCTCTCTCTCTCTCTCTCTCTCTCTCTCTCTCTCTCTCTCTCTCAGCTACTCGTTTTTTCTCGGTATGTGATCACGCTTCTGAATCGGTTTTAGTCTTGTTCCCGATTCTTCTACTATCTTGATTTGGGGTTTTATGATCGGAAAGTTGGTTCTTCTTCTTCCTCCTTTATTCTTCATTCGTTCTCGCTTTTACTTTCATGATTCTCGGTATGTTTTTCCTTCGGTAGAATTTGATCTTCCACGCTTGCAGCTCTCATCATCATTGTTTCTCTACTCGTTGATGAAATCTTGCATGTGCATTTATTAAATCAAGAGATAGGACTTGGTTGTCGAAAGCCTCTTGTCTCTACAATCAAATCCCACTTTGAGATACATGTTATTAGACGTTTTGTACCACTTGATTTGTTATTACTCTCTCACACCTATGGTTTATTATCTCTCTTAAATCCGCTTGTCACGCGAGGTTATCAGGCGATCTTCCCTCCTGTGATGAGATGCAGCACCTTGGGGGGTTAGTCGTCACAAGGTCTCTGAGATTTCAAGCTTCTAAGTTTAGAGCTTTGTTGTTTTTGGCCATTCGTAGAGGTCCTAGTGGCCAAAAAAAAGTGAGAGATGAAAAGAAGTATAGATGCATGGAGAAAGACCACAGGAAAAACATGTCAAAGAATTTGTCAGTTCTTAGTAAATGTTATTAAGGGTTCTGATACTAATTAAAGATACCAATTAAAGATGTAAGCTAACCACTCCGATTGTCAATCTCGTTGAGACGAAGGTTTAATTTCTACATTGAGATGACCTAAGGTATGATTTGATCTACGCTCATCAATTAAGAATTAACATGAGTTTACAAGACTCATCCAGTTTCAGTTGTTCAATTATTTGTTGTTTTCCCAATTCTCTAGTCTTTTCAATAAAATAAAAACTATATATATATTTTCTTACGATTTTTAAACATTCTTAAAAGAAAAAGAAATCCCTTTTATTTTTGTTAAAGATTTAATTAAGTGGGTGTAATCAAGGAAAATTTCCTTTTTTCTCAAAATAATAAAACGAGTAATATAGACGAAATAAACCCTCTAAAAACCCTATGACGGTCTCATAAAAGCTAATAACCATCTGATATTCTGATTGATGATGAGATGAATTCTAAAAAATCTAACTTCTGAAAGTTTGGAAGAACATGGAAGATTCAAAAGATCCCTGTAATTTCGTTAGCGTAGAAGCGGAATTGAACCCGGAATCAATCCGACAATGGCTTTCTATTGTAAAAAACGGGAAGAAGACCGATAAAGGAACTCGACGGTCGGATATCTCGACGAAGGTGAAGAAGCATCTCTCGGCTCTTGGTTGGGTTTTCGCTTACTATCCGAGACGGAACAAGCGAGAGTTGCGTTATAAGTCTCCCAACGGAAGGTGGTTCTATTCTTTAGCTACAGCTTGTTTGAGTTGCGTCGATCATGAAGACGACTCGACACAACAACAACAACAACAACAAATCCTTTCCAAATCTGACTCGTCTTGCTCTCCGATTAAGCTCTCATTAGTTGAGGATGTTTCGAAGAAGACGAGGAAGAAAAGAAAAAGATTGGAGGATTGCTATGTTAATCGCTCAGTCCCCAACAACGAAGAGACTCTTTCGTGTGCTTCCGTCAAAATCCTTCCTAATGTGGATGTGTCGAAGAAGAAGAGAGCGAAGGATTGTGATACGGCTGCGTTTCATGCGAACGAAGAGAAGAATCGTTCCTCTGATTTGATGAATGTTGATGTAATAAACCAACAAGTAAAGAAGAGGACAAGGCAGACGGCTGCTGCGTTAGATAAGGGCGAGGAAAGGCCGAGTTTTGGGAAATCGCTGAGGAATATCTTACAAGTGATGGAAAAGAAGAACAAAATGTGTGAGAAAGAGTCTGTAAGGTTCTGGAGAAAAGATTGTGGCCCGGAAAAGAACTGTGATGTGTGTTGCGTCTGCCATTATGGTGGAGAGTTGCTTCTTTGTGATGGTTGCCCATCAGCATTTCACCATACCTGCCTCGGTTTGCTCAGTATTCCCGAGGAAAAGCTCTGGTTCTGTCCTTGTTGCTGCTGCGATATCTGTGGATCAATGGAAACATCAGGAAACAGCAAGTTGATGACTTGTGAGCAGTGCCAAAGAAGATTCCATCTCAAGTGTTTGAAACAAGTGCCTTGTCTTGTTTCTTGCAGAGGCTGGTTCTGCAGTAGTCAATGCAGCAGAGTCTTTAACGCTCTTCAGGGCCTCCTAGGTCGCAAGATTGCAGTAGGCGACGAGGATTTGGTTTGGACTTTGATGAGAGCTCCTAATGATGAAGAACACTATGATGATGAACAAATCTCCAAGCTAGATTCTGCTGTTGAGATACTTCACCAGGGATTTGAGCCTTCAAAAGATCCTTTCTCTGGGAGAGATCTCGTCGAGGAACTGATATTCAGGAAAGACGCAACTGGTGTGGGTCGCGGCTTCTACACGGTTTTGATTGAGAGGAAGAATGAGCCTATTACGGTGGCGGCAATGAGAGTTGACAAAGATGTAGCTGAAATCCCTTTGGTGTCGACATTGCCTCATTACAGGAGAAGTGGGATGTGTAGAGTGCTTATGGATGAGCTGGAGAAGCAACTGTCTCGAATGGGAGTTTGCAGATTGGTCTTACCGGCTGCAGCAGATGTTGTAAACACTTGGACTCAGCGGTTTGGGTTCTCGGTAATGGAAAGTTGGGAGAGGTTGGAGCTTGTGAAGCATGGGATGCTTGATTTTGTTGGTACTGTGATGTGCCATAAGTTTCTGATGCATAGAGAAGACTCTAGAGAATCAAGCCTCACGGATTAGGAGTGGAAAGAAGTCTTCGATTTTTTGTTTCTGATGTAAAGATTGATTCTACTGGATATATAGTAAGAAATCTTGATGTGGAACAACAAAGCAGATAACTTGTACATCTTTTGTCTATTATTAGATGCGGGTCTCCTTATTTAATCAGATAGGATCCATCATTTTTCTAACGATTGTAGCGATTGTATAAATATGGCCTCAGACATTCCCATCAATCACAGATGGATAGAGACGAATCTAAGGCTCATGCCGATGAACTAGAAGCTATCAGCTCATTTGACCTGATATTCCAAGATTGATCTAAACAACTTTTATTGAACAATTTCAAACTATATTGCAAGGTTAGGAGCTCACAATAAAAACAAGAAAAGATGATATCTTTACATTTATTATTACTACTATACATATACAAACTTGTTACTCTGTTTTCTTTTCTTGCAAATTCAAAAGGTAATTAGATGAATAAGGGAAGCACATTAAAAGTCTTGCACACCTTGAGAAGCACACAATTCTTAGAAAGCCTGTCCCATCGCTACGTCATTTGCCACTGCAATTGATAGCAAAGATTAAGCCAATAAGCAAACTATGAGCTTCACTTGGTAAATACACAATTAAAGGGGGAAAAAAAGTACGAGGACACAACACCTTAAGAACAGGCTCTCCTTTGTTAGTATTAGCTGATTGTTTTGCCATTTGCTGTATTTGAGCTTGTGCAGCCCTTCCAGCTGCAGACTTTTCAAACTGTTCTTGTCTGCGTTACATGCCAAAACAAAATCCATATCTACAAAGTTCAGGAACAAGCCTAGCCTAAAATAAATCCAATCACTAGTTTTAATTCATTTTAACTGAAATAGTTAAGATTTTGCAACATAAAATAGTCAATTTCAACAGATGCGATTCGAAATCGGAAAAAAAAAAGAAGAAGAAGAAGAAGAGAAAAGAGAGGAAACCGTCGCATAGCAGCTTCGGCGGCTCTGGCACGAGCTTCGGCGGAGGCTTGTCTCTCTTCTTCCTTACGCTGTTGCTTTTGGGCTCCGTCGAAGCAACTGAAGCAACCCATCGCCTCGCCGATCAGAGATTGATTGACCTCTTGGCTTCGATTCTGTTGCTTTGCTTTTACCAAGACAACGCAGGTGGGAAACGCGTATTCTGCCAAAATGGGCTGCTTTTTATGTTGTGCTATGTTTATGGGGCTTTTCATTACATTCAATAACTTTATTTATTTTAGGGATAAACCCTTCAAAATTTTAATTTTTTTTTATAGTTTACCTATTTTTGTTGATAAAAATTTCAATTTTGTTGCTTTTTATTTTATTTTAAACTCTATGATTATGGTCTGATTCAAGAACTGAAAACAAAGACAGCTTTAGGTTACAGTTTTTACAGCTTCAAGTTTCTCTTTTTATATACATATGGATATATATCTCATACTTTTCTTCGTACAACAGTGTCTTTTTCTTTTTTGAACAAAAGAAATTAAGTTTGTTCACAAGTCTGAGTGCAGACCAGAACTACAGCTTCTTGTGTCCGAGGAAGACGATGATTTTTCTGTCCTGTATCTAGAAATTATGAGCCTCGCCATATTCTCACCAGCCACTGCACTTGTCTCCATTGTGCTAGCTGCGTTTTCAAAAGCATTCACATAGTACAAATGATGATCATCCAATATGAACGGTGCAAAAACTTCAGGCGCGTGGTACTTGGGATATGCACCCCAGTCTATGCGAACGGTTTCGGTTCTCGCACTGTTTTGAGGAAGAAGAACGACAAGCTTTAGTGAAACTGAAGAGAGATCTAAGTTAGTAATCAATCTGACATGGTTTGAGTTGTAACTACCTGAAGAGTTCATCAAGCAATAAATCTGATGCAGGCTGCCGCGTAAATATCTTGTATGTCATATCTGTTTCGCTATATTTCCTTAGAATCGAGATGCTTGAGAATGGAATTCGAGGATCTTCAAGAGTTCCCACCAAAACTGGAACATCCGAAACCGATTTTATCCCAAAATATCCCTTTATTTAGAAAGAAAACATCAAATATTAGCTTTGGAGACAAACGATATCATCATCACCAACTTCCACAGTGATTGACACTTACCGGGTTTAAAAGTCCCCTCACGAAAGTTGCGTGCGTGTGCTGTAATTCCCTCTTGGGAATTGAGATCGCGGGTGAGAACTGAATATCCACCTCGTCTAGCGGTGTAGAAACTACTGTAATATCACACTTGAAGCAGTTTCCTTTTGTGGAGTTAAGCTCGTAATAGTTACCGTGATGTGAAATGGAATCAATTTGCTCGTTCAGGTGTAATGTTACATCTGAATGATTGATCAGTTTTGCAGCCATCTGCCAGTTCCCACCTTCAACAGACCATAATCCTCCACCTGAACCAGCCAAGGAGACTGCACCAGCTAGTCCACTGATGAGTACACTTTGTCCATAGTTTATCCTAGTAATAACCTGGAGACGACAAAATGAACAAACAAAAAGTTTGTACTACGAAGATTTTTGGCAGTGATTGTTAAAAGACAAGAGTTATAAGTTGACATTAAAAGTTTTGTTATAGTTTATATCAAATGTAATTCCTATCACCAGAATGCATGTCATGCAGAGGATCATGTCAAAAATAAGAGATCAAACTGAGTTCAGACAATGAGTAAGCTTACGGTAACTAGCTCGTTGACTAATAAAGGAGATAGCTGAGCTTCAGATAATTTCTCCTGTAAAGTCAGCTTTGTGAGATTGTACAGGCCCGACCATTTAAGCATCCCTTCAACATTGTCGAAGACAGGTCTTGATTCTAGACTCTCATAGTACTTCAAGAAATTACCAACTGTATTCTATATCCATGAAAATACACCAGTTAATATACAAGAGGATCACACACACAGTTACACACTAAAGCAAAATTGAGTCACTGTAACAAAAACATCTCAAATTTACACAGAGTTGACAAAACGATCGTTTTGGTTACTAGCAAGTATAAATAGTTTACAAAACTAGTTCTTGCAACTTCACGCTATATATAATTCTATTAGATATGAAACATTCCTTTACTCAAAATAGCCAATTCTGAAATCAAACATTCTACATTTGCTCATACAACTGTAAATTCACGAAAAAATATCTCAGTGGAAGATAAGAAGAATTACCTCAATGAAGCTACTCATTCTCAACAGTGAAAACCCGTAACGCACGAATATGTACAAATCATTCACCCAAGAGACGATCTTATCCACAAACGGAAATTTGATACTCGAACCGAATGTCTTGAAGATGAACTTATTCCCATCCCAGATTCCGAGAGCGCAGGATTCTTCAATCGGCGTCGGCAATCGAACCGTCAAGTTGAACCTCTCCACAAAATCTCGAGCGTGGTAGTTTTTCGGGTGCAGAATCGAACCGCCAGCCTCGAACGTATCACCGGAGACGGTAACGGTCCTCATGCGCCCACCGACTATCTCGTGACGCTCAAACATCAGAATCCGGGCTCGATCCAAGTCGCTATAAACAGAGTAGTTACGGAGGAAGTGAGCGACAGATGAGCCTCCGATTCCACTCCCGACGATACATACAGTCGGAGGAAATTCATCCTCGAGGGTCCTGGAATCGCCGGAGCCAGAGAGAAGAGTCGGCGATAGGAGAGCGAGGAGAAGGGAGATTCCTATCGGAGAGAAATTCATTTTTAATTCAACTAGGATAGAATCTGCGCATTATTTTAATTTATATATTTTAAATATTTTCTATTGAATTTTATGTTTGCTATTAATATATTTTTATCTAAAATATTTATATTTTCTTCGATTTTTTCTTGATAATACATTATATGTAATCTTTTTTACAAGTTGTATTAAATAGTCTCAATTTTTCTTCAATTTTTATATTCTTTTTATTCTAATAAATCTTACTAATATAATACTTGTTAATTTCTTAATTTATCATTTGATTTTTTTGGTTATATATATTTTATTGATTCCATCTTTTTTATTATTTAAAAAAAAACCATAGATGACATTTTTATGTGGATATCTTTCTTTTTACTATTATTTTTACTAACTTTTATCTTTTTAATTATTTATTAAATATGATTTGTGTTTTATAATTTTATTAGTTAAATTTTTATATAATATTATTTGAAACTTTTTAACTTATTTAGTCTCATAATTTTTTTTCACTTGCATTAAAAATACATTAATTTTTTTAGTTTATAAATAAATTTTAAAACATTTTTAAAAAATAGAGTTGTACATTTAAAAAGTCTTGTATTATATAATATATATAAGTTTTTATATGTTTAAATTAAATTTGAATTTCATTCTAATATAAATATATATAAATATTTATTAATGTGCTTTAATGTGTTTTGATGTAATTTAAAATGTTTTAATATTTTTAATATGTTTTAATGTGTTTTAATTTGTTTGCTTTAAAAATAATTAATTAATTATTTTATTAATGTTTAAAAATGACAAGTGGCGCTCTCTCCAACGCCAAGTTTTATATATAAGATTCCTGACTTCGTCTCTATTACTTAGGCCTAATTAAATCCTATAGTCTATACACTATAGTGTAGTATTATTATTTCAGTGTTTTTTAAAGGTGCAAGTGTACTAAGAAATTAAAACAGTAATCGCGTCAAACACTTAAAAGTCTTTTTTTTTTTCCTGTCAAGAGACACTCACAAGTTTTAAAGATCAAAATTCATCTTCAATTCATCCTATTGTTTTAGAATGAGAATAGTTGGAATTTTTTTAGATTCAATAATTTCATAGTAACAATTGTGGTAGACTGGTAGTTGTGTACCAAGTCTTTTGATCGTAACTCGTAAGTTAACAAGGCGTTAAGAAAATAAAGTTGTGGTAAGCTCGTTTTGTTTCAGTTATTTGTTACTAACTTTTAACTAATTTTCGAAAGATACTCATTTGGTAAATTTGGGCCTACCACAAAAGGAGAAACTTTGTGCCGGCCCTAAAAATAATCAAACGTGGGGGCTTATTTGTAATTTCGAAAAGTTTCCCACAACGTAAATTTAAGATCGAATCGAAAATGTAATTTGCCGGTCAAAGTGACACAAGGGCGGCAAAATTGTGCAAAATTCGCTTACTAAGAAAAAAAATCAAAAATTTCGAACCGGACTTTTCTCAGACGATGTCGCGGCGAGGCGGTGGCCCTGTGACAGTGTTAAACGTGGCTGAGAAGCCCTCCGTGGCGAAGTCAGTGGCGGGGATTCTATCCCGTGGAAGTTTCCGGACTCGGGAGGGTAGGTCTCGGTACAACAAAATCTTTGAGTTCGATTACGCCATCAATGGCCAGCCATGTCGTATGCTAATGACCTCCGTCATCGGTCACCTGATGGAGCTTGAGTTCTCTGATCGCTTCCGCAAGTGGCATTCCTGCGACCCTGCAGATCTCTACCAAGCTCCGGTCATGAAACACGTTCCCGAGGTATTTCATGTCCCGTGTGTGTTATTGACCTCTAATTGTATGCGTAATTTTGGGTAGTTAGTCAATGCTTCTCTAATTAGAAATTGTTCTTGACTTATTGCTAATTGCAACTGTACAAAATGGGACCATGACCTTTGATTCGCCATATGATGGAGTTGCGTGTGCTGGGTTTCAACTTTTGTTTAATTCTGGTTTTGAGCGAGTTAGGACAAGAAAGATATTAAGAAGACATTGGAGGAGGAAGCAAGGAAAAGCGATTGGCTTGTGCTGTGGCTTGATTGTGATAGGGAAGGTGAAAACATTGCATTTGAAGTTGTAGATGTTTGTAGAGCTGTTAAACAAAATCTTTTTATACGGAGAGCTCACTTCTCTGCGTTAATTGACAGGTAGAGAAGTCATGCCCGCTTTATTTCATGTGTTTTCTCTTGCTCACTCTACTTCAAACTGTGGAACCTAGTCTAATGGTGTGTTGGGATTGGAATTTCTAGGGAAATTCACGAAGCAGCTCAAAATCTCAGAGAGCCTAATCAATTATTTGCTCAGGCTGTAGATGCTAGACAAGTGAGTTTCTCCTGAAGTCCCTGTAATGCGTATGCGTTAATATTCTCTATAAAATTTGTATTGACTAATTTTTTTTTTTTAATACTTTAGGAAATAGACCTACGCATTGGTGCTTCTTTCACTAGATTTCAGACTATGCTGCTGAAAGATCGGTTCTCTATTGACTCCACGGGTGGTGAGGAGAGAAGTCGTGTTATAAGTTATGGTCCTTGTCAGGTTTGATACCAGTGCCAGTAACTATCAGAACTATCACTCCCATTATGTATATCAGAGTCAGGTTATGCATTGTTTTCATGCAGCTTAAATTGATATTTTTCTGCTTCAACTGCAGTTTCCTACACTCGGCTTTATTGTAGAGAGATACTGGGAGATCCAGGCACATGAACCAGAAGAGTTTTGGACAATCAACTGTTCTCACGAATCAGAAGAAGGCCTTGCCACCTTTAATTGGATGTACTTTTATCAACTTCCAGGCGTATCGTTGTTTCCCGGTCTATTGTCCTTGAATTTGGCATTGATGTAACTTTTATTGCAGGCGTGGTCATCTATTTGATTATGTTTCAGCTGTCATATTATATGAGATGTGTGTCCTGGAACCTACTGCCACTGTGAGTACACAAGAAACATCTTTACCATCTGATACTGCATCTTCTACTTAATACGTGTGTCCCTTTTAATCTCCTACCAGGTAATGAATGTCCCACATCCAAGGGAAAAATTTAAGTATCCTCCTTATCCTTTGAACACCATTGAACTTGAAAAACGCGCTTCAAGATACTTCCGCCTGAGTTCAGAGCATACTATGAAGGTCTGAACGAGTATTAGATTGGTTCACATAAGTTTCCTATCAGTTTTTTGGCCTATTAGGACTGCATGTTTTCCAAAATATTTTAATTCCTATTGTATCTTCGTATAGTTTTCTGCTTTCTTGTAGATTGCTTGGCTTTTAAAATGCAACTAGATCTTGCTGTTTATGTTTAATAACATCAACAATGTCTGGATAGGTGGCAGAAGAGTTATATCAGGCTGGTTTCATCAGCTATCCTCGTACAGAGACCGATTCTTTTTCGAGCAGGACCGATTTACGTGTGGGTAACTTTTCTCATGAGCCAATAAGGTTAATTTGGAGTTTATGATTTACTTTGATGCTTCGGTTGTTAGTCTCTTAGGATCTCTAGTTGTGTCTAGGCTATGGTAGAGGAACAAACAAGACATCCTGCATGGGGTCCATATGCACAAAGACTATTAGAGCCTGAGGGGGGGCACTGGAGAAACCCTGGGAATGGTGGTCATGATGACAAGGCTCACCCTCCCATTCACCCAACTAAATTTTCAAGCGGAGAGTCTAACTGGAGCAGAGATCACCTTGTAAGTATAGCAGTCAGTTTGGTTAACATACCCAAGCATAGGTATGATATTGTTTTTTCGTTGGAGCCAACGTTTTTTTTTTTTCACTTTTCCAGAATGTATATGAGCTAGTTGTCCGCCATTACCTAGCATGTGTTTCCCAGCCAGCAATTGCTGCTGAAACTACAGTTGAAATTGATATTGCTGGCGAGCGCTTTTCTGCATCTGGGAGAGCAATATTAGCTGTAAGACTTGTTACTCGCTTCTACAGTACAGTCTTGATCTCTGTGGTTTACGCTGTAATGAAATGTAAAGCTGCTTTCATATGAGGGTGTTTCTCTGTTTTGGTAGCGCAGTAAAACTTATACAACGGGGAGAAAATTTAGTGATTAGGTGGTATTGCTGCTATTTGGCTTATAACTTTGGAGTGGGATGAGTTGATCAGTGCTTGATTTTTCTTTGTGTGACCAGAAAAATTACCTTGAAGTGTACCGCTTTGAATCGTGGGGAGGTTCAGTGATTCCAGTATACGAAAAAGGGCAGCAGGTTTTTTTTGGCTACCCTTCTACTTAGTTCTTACAGCCAGAACAATCAAATACGATTCTGAATGTCTGGTAATGTGCAGTTTATCCCAACACGTTTGACTCTTGATTCAGCAGTAACAAGACCACCACCGCTATTGAGTGAAGCTGACTTACTAAGTTGTATGGACAAGGTGATTAAAACCGTCTTGTTTGCCCCTCCTATCACGGTGGTGTTTGCATATTTTTGTTCATTAGTTCCTACATTTCTCATCCGATCATGTTTGTAACTATTTATTATCCGACCTTCTTGTGAATGGTAGGCAGGCATTGGCACGGATGCGACAATGCACGACCACATAAAGAAACTCCTTGATCGGGGTTATGCTACAAAGGATGCTAATACGCGGTTTTCTCCAACTAACCTGGTAGCTGATATGATACTCAACCTTTCTCATGTTTCCCAATGTCTTTTGTTGATTCTATTCATATCCACACATATATACTAGTATATGTGTGGATATAGCTCAACCTTAAGAGTGTATTAGTAAGTTTGATTAGTACTATTCATATCCCCAAGAATTATTCAAAATTTGTTTGTGTCCTTCAGCATTAGTTTTAGTCGAAATATTTTCGGTGAAGTAAAGGGTGATCTTCTTTAAGATCAAGAACATTTTCTGAATTTGCTACTCCACAAGAGTACATGTTGATTAGTGGATGCGAAACGTGTGTTGATTTATCAGACGGAATGCCTTAAAAATTACGCAGCTCATATTCTAGGTCTAGTCCACAGAGCATATTGATGTTAA